GGTCCCTACCATATAAACATGCACATACAAACACTTAGGCACATACATATATGGCAATAATTTTTTGTACTGTGAATATTTTCTTCCAGTCTGTGTCTTGACCTAATCATATTCTTAATGTTGTCCTTGAATTAATAAGTTTTATCAAATACTTGAATGATTTTTTTTCTTTTTTATGCTGGTATTTTAGAAAGTCACATGAATTGACTTGGCTGTTAAACCTATCTTCTTGGAATACATCTTACATGCTTGTGATGTGCTTTCCTTTTTATGTACATTGCTGGATTCAGTTTGCTAGAATTTGTTTGGAACTTTTTGTTTGTATGTTCATGAGAGATATTGGTTGTTACTTTCCTTTCTTATAATGTCCTTGTCAGGTTTTGATGTCAGGGCTTTTCTTCATGAGAAGAATTGGAAACCATTTCCACTCTTTCTGTTTTCTGGAGATTTTTGGATATAGTTTGCTGTTTTTTTTCTAGCTTTTTGAAATGGTTGCTTAGATCATTGATTAAAACTTTTTTTTGTAAAATATGCATTTAAGTATATACATTTGCTACCAAATATGGCTTTAGCTACGTGTCACAAGTTCTAATTCATTGTATTTTCATTATCATTCAATCAAATGTTTTCTAATTTCTGTTGTGTTTTCATCTTTGACCTAGGGATGATTTATAAGTATATTGCTTTATTTTCAAATATTCACTTTATTTTCAAATATTCACAATATTTTTGAAAATTCTGTTCCAGCTTAATTCCATTAGGATTAGAGAACATATTCTATATGATTTTGAACTTTGGCATTTATTGAGACTTGATTTGCAAACCAACATTTAAAAAACATTATCATTTTTGAAAAATTATTTGTATATTTAAATGTATGTAAAATAGATTAATTAAGTTTATTAATTGTGTTGTTCTAATCTTCTATCTCCTTGTTCATTTAAAAAATTTGCTTATAGTATCAGTTATTGGGAAAGAGATGTTAAAATTTCCTAGTGTGATTGTGAATTTGTTGGTTTCTACTTTTATTTTTGTCATTTTTTGCAGTATGTGTTTGGAGTTATGTCATTAGGTTAAAGTAAATTTAGAGTTGTTATATCTTCCTGGTGAATTGAACATTTTATTATTGCAAAATGTCCTTTTTATCTCCAGCAGTGCTCCTTGATTTTAATGTCTATTCTGCCTGATATTAGTAAGATATAAAAGTTAAATTTTAGTCAGTATTTGTGAAATACATGTTTTTATATTCTTTTACTTTAATGTTTTCTCTGACTGTAGAAAAAAGTATCTTTTTTTTGTGAAAACTTTCTGTTATACAAACAAACTTCTTTTTTTTTTTTTTTTTTTTAAGTAGGAGTCTCTGTCGCCCAGGCAGGAGTGTAGTGGTGTGCTCATGGCTACCACAGCTTCGACCTGCTGAGGTCAGGTGACCCTTCCGCCTCAGCCTTCTAAGTAGCTGAAACCACAAGCATGTACCACACTCAGCTAATTTTTTTGATTTATTGTAGAGAGGAGGTCTCCTCAGTTTGCCTAGGCTGGTCTCAAACCCCTGGACTCAGGCAATCCTCTCGCCTCAGCCTCCCAAAGTTCTGGGATTATAGGCATGAACCACCGTGTCCAGCTGTTAGTTATATTTAATGTAATTATGGATAAACTTGGATGTCAAACCATCCATCTCATTCAGTGTTTTTTATTTATCCAATCTGTTTTATTTCACATTTACCATCTTTTCTTGTCTTTTATATCAGCTTGTTTGTTTATTTATTTATTTAATGGTTAGCATAAAGATTACAATTAAAGAAAATCTACTATACTTTTACCACTTACCATTCAACACAAAAACTTTGGAACATTTACTATATTTAACTAAATTTTCCACTTTCTACCTTTTTACAGTTGTTTTCATGTACAGTTATCCCTTGTTATAGGCAGGGGATTGGTTCCAGGACCCCTGCCTGTACTTAGATCCATGAACACTCACGTCCCACAGTTGTCCCTGTGGAACCCATGTACAGAAAAGCCAGCCCTCCATATATGCAAGTTTTGCATCCTGTGAATACTATATTTTCTCCTTCTTTCTCTCTCCCCCTCCCCCTCCCCCATCTCTCTCTCTATCTCTGTCTCTTTTTTTTTGATAGGATCTCACCTTGTTGTCCAGGCTGTAGTGTTTGTGATGTGAATATAGCTCACTGCAACCTCAAACTCCTAGGCTTACATGATCCTCATCTCAGCCTTCCAAGTAACTGAGTTTACAGGTGCAAGCCACTGCCCCTGGTTGAATACTGTATTTTCAGTCTGCATTTGGTTTAAAAAAATCCTCATGTAAGTGGATCCACACAGCTTTAACCCTTGTTGTTCAAGTGTTAACTGTGTTTTCTTTTTATATATGATAAATGTACTTTTTTGTTTGTTTATATGTAGAGACTTGGCCTCATTGTTGCGTAGGTTGGTCTTGAACTCCTGGGCTCAAACAATCCTCCTGCCTTGGCCTCCCAAAGTACTGGGATTACAGGTGTGAGCCACCATGCCTGATCTGATAAATGCACTTTAAACTTTGTCAGGCCTTGTTGTTTTATAAAGTCATTCTTCATAACTTATTCATTCATTTATTTATATATTCTACCTTTCTGTTATTTTTCATAATATTCTGTGTGCTTTTATTTGGGATCATTTTTTTTTTTTCTGTCTGAAGCACTCCCTGTAGTATTTCCTTTAAAGCAAGATGACTGCTGACAAATTCTATTAGTTTTAATTTTTCTGAAAACGTCTTTATTTTGCATTTATTTTTAGTGATTCTGTAATTCTGGCTACCCAATCACTTACTTCCTGATCACCGTATTTAAGTTATTTATCCCTGTTTTCTTGCTTTAATTTCTCCCTATACTTATTACCCTTTTGCACATTTCATTTATACATAGGCCTCTGTTATTGGCAGGGTTAGCAGTAGCAACAATTATACATTTTACTTACTCATTTTACTTATTCATAGGCCTCTGTTATTGGCAGGTTTAGCAGCAACAACAGTTAGGCCAACTTTGGAAAGTTGCTGTTGGGCTCAAGCCTAACTTTCAGCCCTGCCATTAAAATCCTATTGCATTAACAACAGGGGAAAAGATGGTAAAGGCTAGCTGAGTCAACTGACCAAGTCACTTTGTCTACATGGTTATTCATTGATTCTTTTGAGATTGGTGTTCTCTGGGATTAACATGAGATAAAAATAACTTTACAGTTGCCTGCTTTTATATGTCAATCCATATATGTATTCCTCATGCCTCTTGTCTCAATCTCCTGATATTTTATAGGATCTGTTTCTCATTTTGTGGAGAGCTACTGTCTCACCAGTATATATGTGCTACTTCTTGCTCACCTGATTCAATTAATGATGCCATTGAAACCATAGGTCAACATGAATTTCTTTGGATTGTCCAGATACCTCTGTACTATATTAAGACTAAAGTCCGGAAAATTAATACAGCCCTGGTTCAGACACATGAATGTATGTTGCTATTGGTTGCTGTGACTATTAACTGCTTTTAGTCTTCCTTAGTAGGGTAGAAAAACATGGTTTACCAGATCAATGACCACATACCACTTGCCTGACAGATACCAATAACTGTGTCTTTTATGCTGCCAAAGAGACTCTCTGGCTTTCACACTATAGTTTTTAATTGGTGATTTATCACTTATCCTTTCATTGTTTTTCTCCACTGCATTGACTGCTCCTAGCAACAGCTATCTAGTTCTAGTCCTTTTAATTACTTCTCTGTACTTCCCAAATGCCTGAAATATTGCACCTGCCGTGCCTTCTCTTTCACCAACAAAAGTTTTAGCAATTGCAGTTGTACTGCTATGGCATGTTAGGGACTATGTACCACCAATGGTGGGGTCCTCATTGCTAGCTTGACAGTGTTTGATGCAGCTTGAAAATCCTACTTCATAGGACCACTTTTGCTGCTAACTCAGGTTTCCCAAAAACACACTTTGAAGTTTCAAGATTTGCATATAGAAATGTTGGGGAATGTTTCTGGGATCAACCCCTCTGAGAAAGGGTACAAGAGGAAATAATATTAGGAAGTGAAGAAATTGAATTGCCGTGTAGTTGCAACAAAAGCATCAACTGATCCAACAGGGATACCTGAGGCTGGAATAACCCTTCCAAGATATTCCATGGCTAGACCTTTTTACTGCACATTGATCCAGTCGTGGAATATAGGCTGTTTGGGATGGTAGCATAACGTTGAATAAGACAGTTGCAACTCAGTCTGCAACTCAGAGAAACTCTGTGAGGTTCAGTTGTTAACCATCAGCAGGCAAAAACCCGGAAGGTGAGGGAATGAATACTTCAGTTCTGAAGGGGGAGTTTTGCGTGGCACATCACGACACTCACAGCAACCACACTGGCAAGATCAATTTTAGTGGAGTGGTGAGGGAGGAAAGGATACTGTAGTGCTAGAAAGAAGGAGGGTTGAAAACTTGTTCAGTCAGCTTAGCTGTGAAGAAAGGAGAGAGAGTGAGGATAGTCAGTAGACGTTCCTGAGGAGACTGAGAGGAATGGGATCCAGGATATTGATAGTATGATTTTTTTTTTTTTTTGATCAGTATGAGTTTCATTTTGATCATTATAGTTGAAGAGGAGGAGTAAGAGAGGAGTTCAGGTATGGATAAGTTTATAACATTTACGGGAGGAGGTTGAGGCAGTTCTTAATTATTTCTTATGGGAAAGAGCCAAAAGACTCAACAGCTGAAAGAGGGAGAGTTTGGGTTGCAGGCGTAAAGTAAGTAGAGAAGATCTTCATAGATTGCAGTAGAAAGTGGAAGAGAGAGCTAACAGGATAGCCAGTGGGTATTTAGAGCCCATTTGAGGTTGATGTTCCTGATTTTGTAGAATTACTAATTTGGACAGTTGTGTAACATTTTTTTCTGGCAGTACTTAGTGTAGTGAAAATATAAATATTTTGCTCAATGTTTGACCAGACAGTTTTCTTTTTCTTTTTGTACAGCCATCAGATCAAGTCATTACAGTATAGTAACACAGGGGACATGATTCTTGTTGTATCTGGAAGCTCTCAGGCCAAGGTGATCGACAGAGATGGTTTTGAAGTAATGGAATGTATAAAGGGAGATCAGTATATTGTGGATATGGCCAACACCAAGGTAAGCATTAAGCAGAATATTCTTTTTTTTTAAATGTATATTTTTTATTTTAAAGTTGTGGGTACAGTTAAGGGTTAGGTATACAAATATTCATTGTGCAGGTACCCTTGTTGATGAGGTGTGCCCCCCTTCCCAAGACAGATATTGACTACCATCAATCCCACTTCCCTGCTCCTCCCTCCCCCTCATAGTTTTCCACCACTATCAATCCTTTTCTTATATTATTACAGTAGTTGTTCAAGGTCCACTTATGAGCGAGAACATGTAATGCTCAGATCTTTGTTTCTGTGAGAGATCACTCAGTATTATAAACTCTAATTCCATCCAGGTTTCTGCGAAATTCATGATTTTGTTCTTTTTTATGGCTGTGCAATATTCCATTGTGTATATGAACCACATTTTTTTAATCCAGTCCTCTTTTGATGGGCAGCAAGATTGGTTCCATGTTCTCGCTATTGTGAACAATGCTGCAATAAACATACGTGTGCAGGTATCTTTTTTGTAGAGTGATTTGAGTTCTTCAGGGTATATTCCCAGTAGGGGCATTGCGGGCTCATAGGGAAGGTCAATTTTTAGAGCTTTTGGGAATACCACACTGATTTCCACAGAGGCTGCTCTAGTTTACACTCCCACCAACAGTGTAGAAGTGTTCCTTTTCACTATATCCTCTCGAGCATCTGTTATTTTTTGAGTTATTGATAATGGTCATTTTGACTGGAGTTAGGTGGTATCTCAGTGTAGTTTTAATTTGCATCTCCTCGATGACTCGCGAGGTTGAACGTTTCTTCATGTATCTGTTGACCGTTTGTATGTCTTCTTTTGAGAAGTGTCTGTTCATGTCTTTTGCCCACTTTGTAATAGGGTTGTTTGTTTTTTTTTCTTTTCAGCACATTTGAGTTCCTTGTAGATCCTAGATGTTAGGCCTTTGTCAGACATGGAGTTGGCAAATACTTTTTCCCAGTCTGTGGGGTGTCTCCCCACTCTCTTGATGGTTTCTTTGGCTTTGCAGAAGCTTGTTACTTTAATGAGGTCCCACTTGTCTATCTATCTTATCTCTTATGGCCTGTACATTTCGGGTTTTGCTCAGGAATTAGATGCCAGTTCCAACTTCCATAAGGGCGTGTCCTGCATTTTCTAAAGTTCTTATGGTTTGAGGTTTTACATTTAGGTCTCTGATCCATTTAGAGTTAATTTTTGTTTGTGGGGATAGATGGGGTCCTGTTTGAATCTTCTGCATGTGGTTAGCCAGTTTTTCTAGCACCATTTACTGAATAGGTTCTCCTTTCCCCAGTGGTGGGTGGTGGAGGCTTTGTTGAAGATAAGTTGGTTGAGAAATTGAGGTTTTGCTTCTGGAATCTCAGTTCTATTCCATTGGTCTATATGTCTGTTCTTGTACCAATACCAGGCTGTTTTGATTGTTGTAGCTTCATAGTAAAGTTTAAAGTCTGGTAGTGTGATACCTCCTGCTTTGTTTTTTTTTTGCTGAGGATTGTTCTGGCTATTCTTGGTCATTTGTGTTTCCATAGAATTCCTGTATTGTTTTTTCTAGATCTGAGAAGAATGTTGGTAATTTGATGGGTATTGCATTAAATCTGTAGATTGCCTTAGGTAAGATGGACATCTTCACAATGTTGATTCTTCTAATCCATGAGCATGGAATATTTTTCCACTTGTTTGTGTCATCTTTGATTTCTTTGAGCAGTGTTTTGTAGTTTTCATTGTAAAGGTCTGTCATGTCTCTGGTTTGGAAGATGCCAAGGTATTTCATTTTTTTGGTGGCTATTGTAAATGAGATTGTTAAGCAGAATATTCTAATGAATATAATTAACTCAGTACAGATTTACTAACAACTTGTCGGAGTGTCATGTAATAATTCACCTCAAGAGTTAGTGTCTTAAAATAATAACGATTTATTACTTCTTTCAATTGTGTGGATTGACTGGTAGTTTCTTCCACTTCTTACTGTGTTAACTGGGGCACTAGGATGGCTGTAAGATACAAAATGGGCTCAGGTGGTTTATAGTCAGTGTTGTTCCCATGTCATCTCTCTCTCTTTCTTTGTATCTTCACCACTTCCACCACTCACCCCCTCCCCTCTTGTGTTCTCTCTTTTTTTCTCTTGCCGTGTGTGTCGTTTGGACCTTTTCACAGTGTATGGTCTTAGTGGCATTTGACTTCTTGCTTGGTTGCTAGTTTTCATGGAAGACAAACAAGGGAACTATAGGTATCTTAATGTCTGACTTCAGATTTTACACAGCATCATAAGACCAGCTCAAATTTGCGAGGAGGGGAGTAGACTCCACCATTTAACAGGTAAATAGCAAGGTCAAATTATAATCATGTGGGAAGGGAGATATTGATGAAGCCATCTTTGGAAACATAATCAACCTAGTAGTATGTGCTGGATTTTAGGACAAGAAGGAAAAAGAGAATTAAGTGCAGTGGCACTCACCTGTAGTCCCAGCTACTTGGGAGACTGAGGCAGGAGGAGCACTTGACCCCAGGAGTTTGAGGCTGTAGTGTTCTATGATCGTGCTTGTGAATAGCCACCACACTCCATCCTGGGCAACATAGAGAAACCCTGTCTCAAAAAAAAAAAAAAGAAAAAAGAAAAAATAAAAAAAAGAAGGGGAGAGTCTCATCAATTTTTTAATATAAAGATTTTTAATGGGATAATGATATTTTAAAATTAATGTATATTACATATCAGTTAACAATAGCCACAGTAATGCTATGAAACTTATGATTGAAACAGTAATTATTTTTGCTAACATGTCTGTGAATTAGCTATTTTTGGCTGGGAATGACTCCAACCTGCAGATAGAGTCTAGGTTTGTTCCATGTGTCTCTGTTCCTCCATGGATCAGTGGATTACCTGATGATATGTTTGTTTTTTTTTATAGTGATAGCAGAAACACAAGGAAACTCCCAACTCAGGAAGTACATTTTAAGCCTTTGCTTATATCATGTCTACTAACATCTTATTAGCCAAAGTATATTGTGTGGCCATGGCTAACATCAATAAAGTGGAGAAATATGCCTCATCTCTGGAGGGAGGAGCTGCAATATCATGTGGCAATGGTTGTAGATGTAGAGAGGGGTAATGGATAGGGAACAATAATGTAGTTTACCACAAATGTATAAAGTGTGAGTGAATATGGTTGATGCAGAATTTTGATCCGTCTTTCTTTTTTGAGTTGGCGTCTCACTCTGTTGCCCAGACTGGAGCGCAGTGGCACAGTCACAACTACCACAGTCTTGACCTACTGGACTCAGGTGATCCTTCAACCTCAGCCTTCCAAGTAGCTGGGACTACAGGCACACGCACCATGCTTGGCTTTCTTTTTTTACTCATTGTAGAGATGAGGTCTTGCCATGTTGCCTAGTCTGGTCTTGATCTCCTAGGCTCAGGCAATCCTCTTACTTCAGCCTGCGTGCTGAGATTACAGGTGTGAGCCACTGCACCCAGCCTGAGCCTTCATTTTAATTCTGGGTTTTACTCTTTTCCCCCTGCCTGTCTAGTATCTTATAATATACTAATTGTCTTGGTTTGTGCCTAAGTCATAATCTTGTAAGAGATTCGATTATCTAAGAAAATACAGTTGATCCTCATTATTTGTGGATTCTGCATTTGTGAACTTGCCTGAAGTTTTTTTGTAACCCCAAAATCAGTACTCATAGCACTTTCATAGTCATTTGTGGCCATGTGCTTGCACAGAGAGGTAAAAAGTTTGAGCTTGAACAGGGTGACACTCTGCTTTTTCAACTGTCATACTATAATCAACTGTCCTTTTTGTGGTCTGTTTGGTACCATCCTTTTCTTTTTTTGTGCTTTTTCTTGGTTATTTTACTGTTTCAGATAGCCCTTAAGCATAGTGCTGAAGTGTTGCTTAGTGATCCCAAGTGCAAGAAGGTTGTGATATGCCTTACAGAGAAAATACATGTGTTAGATAAGCTTCATTGAAGCATGAGCTGTGGTACCTTTGGCTATGAGTTCAGTGTTAATGAATGAACAATATATATTAAATAAGCACACATAAAACAAAATTATGTACTAATTGGTTGATAAAAATGTAACCAGAGGCTTTCCAGAATGTAACTCTGTATTTGCTAATTCAGTGTTCATGGAGCTTTATAGACTATAACCACCATGAATAATGAGAATCGACTATAATCTATTATAGGTGCTCCAATTGAGTTATTGGATTAAATTATTATAGTATATTTCAAACTGTCCTGTTTTGAACCCTAGTGAACTATCACTCAACCCTGATGAGGATCACAATCTCATATCCTTTTTTTGTTTATTGACTGATTGTTTATTGAGTACACAGTTTATGTTAGGTGATTTAAGCATAATTCAAATAGAATTTAAATATTTTAAATTTATACACATTTATATTATAATAGTGGCTTGAATTTCTTTTTTTTTTTGGTGCACTCCATTGGAGTTTCTTATTTCTCTCTCCATAAAATCATTTCCCAGCCAAGTGCAGTGGCTCATGCTGCTAATCCTAGCACTTTGGGAGGCCAGGGCAGGAGAATCACTTGAGGTCAGGAATTCAAGACCAGCCTAGACAGCATAGCAAGACCTTGCCTAAAAAAAAAATGTATATATAATAATAATAATAATTTCCCTATGGATTCCACCAAAGACTTTTTGTTTTGTTTTGTTTTTTGAGTAAGAGTCTTACTTTGTTGCCCAGGCTGGATTGCAGTGGCATGCTCACAGCCACTGTAGCCTCAATTGGCTGGGCTCAGGTGATCCTTCCACCTCAGCCTTCCAAGTAGCTGGAACCACAGGCACTAATTTTTTTGACTTATTGTAGACACGAGGTCTCGCCATGCTGCCCAGGCTGATCTCGAACACCTGAGCTAAGGCAATCCTCTCACTTCCACCTTCCAAAGTGCTGGGATTACAGGTGTGAGCCACTGTGCCTGACCAAATTCCACCAAAGATATTTTGAGGATGATAGTAATTAGGAAATAAAGCAGATGGG